TATGGTAACAACCATCACGTGACTATGGTAACAAACATCACGTTACTATGCTAACAACCATCACATGACTATGCTAACAACCATCACGTGACTATGGTAACAACAATCACGTGACTATGGTAACCACCATCACGTGACTATGGTAACAACAATCATGTGACTATGGTAACAAATATCACGTCATTATGGTAACAACCATCACGTGACTATGGTAACAACAATCACGTTACTATGATACCAACCATCACATAACTATGGTAACAACAATCACGTGATTATGCTAACAACAATCACGTGACTATGCTAACAACAATCACGTGACTATGCTAAGTCACGTGATGGTTGTTACCATAGTCACGTGATGGTTGTTGGCATAGTTACATGATTGTTGTTACCATAGTCACGTGATGGTTGTTACCAAAGTCACGTGATGGTTGTTACCATAGTCACGTGATATTTGTTACCATAGTCACGTGATGGTTGTTAGCATAGTCACGTGATGGTTGTTAGTATAGTCACGTGATGGTTGTTAGCATAGACACGTGATGGTTGTTACCATAGTCGAGAGGTGGTTGTTAGCATAGTCGCGTGATGGTTGTTAACATAGTCACGTGATAGTTGTTAACATACTCACATGATTGTTGTTACCATAGTCACGTGATGGTTGTTACCATAGTCACGTGATGGTTGTTAGCATAGTCACGTGATGGTTGTTAGCAAAGTCACATGATTGTTGTTACCATAGTCACGTGATGGTTGTTAGCATAGTCACGTGATGGTTGTTAGCATAGTCACGTGATGGTTGTTAGCATAGACACGTGATTGTTGTTAGCATAGTCACGTGATTGTTGTTAGCATAGTCACGTGATTGTTGTTACCATAGTTATGTGATGGTTGGTATCATAGTAACGTGATTGTTGTTACCATAGTCACGTGATGGTTGTTACCATAGTCAGGTGATGGTTGTTAGCATAGTCACGTGATGGTTGTTAGCATAGTCACATGATGGTTGTTACCATAGTCACGTGATGATTGTTACCATTGTCACGTGATTGTTGTAACCATAGTCACATGATGGTTGTTAGCATAGTAACGTGATGGTTGTTACCATAGTCACATGATGGTTGTTAGCATAGCCACGTGATGGTTGTTACCATAGTCACGTGATGGTTGTTAACATAGTCACGTGACGGTTGTTACCATAGTCAGGTGATGGTTGTTAGCATAGTCACGTGATGGTTGTTAGCATAGTCACATGATGGTTGTTACCATAGTCACGTGATGATTGTTACCATAGTCACGTGATTGTTGTTACCATAGTCACGTGATATTTGTTACCATAGTCACGTGATGGTTGTTACCATAGTCACGTGATGGTTGTTAGCATAGTCACGTGATGGTTGTTAGCATAGACACGTGATGGTTGTTACCATAGTCACGTGGTGGTTGTTAGCATAGTCACGTGATGGTTGTTAACATAGTCACGTGATAGTTATTAACATAGTCACGTGATGGTTGTTACCATAGTCACGTGATGGTTGTTAGCATAGTCATATAATTGTTGTTACCATAGTCATGTGATGAACTGATAAGCTAGAAAACTGATAGCTGACGCCCCTCGCGTGAAATAACTGCAATAATTGAACTCTGCTAACTGCTTAAATCAACTTTTCAGCTTGTATCGATTATTGGTTTGTAACAGGTTTTATTTACTTGGGGACCCCAGGCTATAATGTTCATAAATAGAGATTAAGCGGAATGACAGGCTGAGTGCCGACGAGTAAGCTTGTATCGGCTTTTATCAGCTTTTATCGGCTTGTATCGATTATTGTATCAATTTGCACTCGGCTGTGGCTCGTGCAATTAATAAGTAAAACAAAATTTTAAGTAAAACAAAATTTAAATTTTATTGCCATTACAATGAATAATGATATCATAATAAATATAAGTAAGTAGACATCCGATAATAAACTTGTTACATCCAGTACAACCCAAGATGTCAGCCGACGCGACTTACAAAATAAAGAAAGCTAGCATGTTATGTTCATTGTTCATAGTTTTTCTAACGAGCATGCTTAGCACTTAGGCTGTACGGAAATAGCTTTAATTCTACGTCATATTAAAAACTTTACATCATTTTTTGAGATACAAAAATAAATTTTAAAATAAATAACTCTTTTGCTGCTTAGGCGCGGCACCGCGCTTGACCCACATGCTATACAGTGTGTAGCAACACATCGCTGAAAACAGAAGCTGAATGAGCTATAACATATAAGCGGTGCGCCGCGCCTAAACCTAAAACCATAAACTTTTAATATTGTCAAGATATTAAACGAGTTTTGCAAAATAATATAGCATGCTGACTTCGTAGGATATTACAATTATACCAGTGCCAGTTCCAAATGTGAGTCAGCGCTTAAACCAAAAGTAGTTGGCAAAAGGAGCCAGTTGCCTGCAAGAGCTTTACTAGCACCCGATTTACCACTTTTGGAGCACAAACTCAAACCTAAAACCGGCCAAGCACAAAAATATGTTATCGCCACGATTGGGTGGATTGATTCCCAGAATATTTATCAGCACGCGGCACTAATAATATATGAAGTTCATTATCGAATTTTAGATATGCCCTGGATCGTTTAACACATATATTGTATATAAAAGGTTATTAAAGAATAATTAATGTTTGGTTCGTATAAATCGATATTAATCAATTATTTAAAATAGTATTTGTATTTGTGTTTGTTATTATTAACTATTGAATTGTGTTCGATTTAAATATTAAAACACTACTACAAACACTACTACAATACATTGCACAAAACTAGTGTAATCGCATTATACGCAGTTAGATTAGCATATATAATTACATTTTTCATTACCAACATCTTATCATAGTTGTACAATCTTTCTCGTTGTAAACTTTTGGCATATTCTGGCATTTAATATATCTTCCACATAATTCTAACATGATAAACTAGGCTGCGTTAGCTGTTTAAATGTGTAGTGTATTATACTTATAATTATATGATATAACATATAGTGTGAGTGTAGTATTACTACTAGTAGAACCCGACCATTTATCTCAAGATAGCAGCTCGGAAACCTCATTAAATCGAAAATAGACAATTAGGCCGGCCCGGTTTAGTAAGGGGCTTCCCGCTTCGGTCGTCGTACATTTTTTCATACATGATCACGTGAACAACGGGGTTCCCCTAAGGCTTGGAAGATCAATTAGTAAACAGTTGGAGCGGCTCCCTAACACACTGGATTGTTGTTAATTGTTAGTTTGTTTATTAACGATTTTTGTTGCTGGGTCAAGTCCATTTTCGAAAAAACTTCCGCCATCCTTATTTTCTCGAAATAAGCATTACAACGGTATTTTCCTCGAAAAAAATCGAAAAAAACCCGCCACTCTATAATTTAATAAGTTGATTTTAAATCGCAATGAACCACTTTGCAGTTATATAATGTATTAAGCTATATTAAAATTAAAAAGTGTAAGTGATTCATATATACATGATGTAATTCAAATTTGTGATATCTTTATCCTTGCATCATTTGCATTTAAATTTATATCATATGACATATCAGCCACAATGGATATTTTAATTTTGAAATCACAATGAATTTTCATTAAAAATTGTTATCGAATTTTAAAATGATCAAGTTAGGGTAGTAAATGAAATTTGATCATTCTATTATTCTATTCACTAGAATTCATTTTTTATGAACATGGATTAATTACATTTAATCAAATTTGATCATTACTCTTATCATACCTTTAATTATCATAAAAGAGTTCTTTACTGAATGAGTCAGATTGGAGATTTCCTTCATACAATTAATGTTCAATCATCCATTTCACTCCAACTGTTTGGATCACAGATCGTATTAAAAACAAGTGCTACAATTATCATTTTAAATAGTTGTACTGCACGTTAATTTTTTACTGTCATAGGTGGCCAAGGGTGATTTTCAAAACTTTGAGTTTTTTCTCTTTACATAGGGTCATTGTGACATTATGTGTATACTGTTTGAAAAATTTTATTCTTTACTGTCATAAGGTTTGATTCTTCGTGTTAAGTTCTTAAGTTTGAAAAAGGATAATTGGGGTCAAATCCAGAATCATATCACTCTCGAGTGTTTGCTCTATTGCATGTTGTGCTGTTGTTTACAGGTTTGTTTCTTTTATCTCGTCTCTGGCTGGAGATACCACTGCAAAAATAAAATATTTATATCTCATGAATATCACTTTGTACAAAGTCATCAGAACTTAGTTATTGGCTGCTTTAAATCGTACTACTAGATAACTGTGTTCCGAGTTTAAAATAATCCTATTTGAACGTATGTTATCCGCCTTTCAAGACATCACAGTTAGCAAGAACTCTCTAGGCCATATTATGGTTTATGTAATTAATGGTGTCTCATCATGTGAAATTAACAATAGCTTTGACTATTTTTACACTCCGCATCTGTGCTAACTATAACGTGTTTCGGAGTCTTTGTTAATTTGCAGGATCCCCTGTGTTTTACTGACCAAATTAAGCCGCAAGTTTACATTTTTAAAACTTAATTGAAGAAGTATAGATCTGTAAGACGTATGTCTCTCTTACTTTATCCGCTTACCACGTGTGACCTGATGCCATTTTTTACTCTAAGGTCTATACTTCTCTGCATAGAAATGTACATAATTTTGACAACAAATGTCAAAACGGGTATCTATGTAATTTTCGTACTATTTTAATGGTTACCTTCATGCCCACAGTTTAATGTTCAATCTCACTATACCATATTCATTAACTTATAACTTATTACATACTATATGACGTTTTGATTGATGTCCTTAGAAGGGTATTCTTCTTGCACTTTTTGACTGACTTGAATGTCATGCACAGCAGTTTGAAGCTTCTTTAAATTATTTGTATTCTTATTGTATTGCTGGGTAAATTTAATTATAATTCTAGTTCTAATTCTATGGTTCATAATTGTATAATATGTTCTTAAACATCATTACATCTATACACGTTATTCGTATCCATTTTCTTGAATATTCGGAAGATAGCTGGAGAAATTGGAATTCAATCATGCAGAGAAATTATATGCCTAAAAGAATATTATACATTACTTGCTGCATAAATTTGTCACTTAACTAATGGTGAATTTTCAAATCTGCCACTATACCATTAGCCAAGTAGCATTGTCTTCCTGTATTATTAACAACAATTAAGTACCTGAGGTTACCATTCATTTCATCTACTCAACCCAATTTGTATCCCCAATTTGCTAGTTCTATTTATAGCTAAGATAATTGTTGGGTGTTAGATAAGAAGTTACCCACCAAAAGAAGGGCTGATCAACTCTTGTTCAAGTGTAAGCCCTGCTTCAAAATATCCAGACTGTTGATATACATTCTCTACACATTCCTGCAAATGTTTAATGACAATTAGGTATGTTTATTGCACTTTGAACAATTGTGTCACTATTTTTTCAATTTGTGTCACTATTTAACACTTACAATAAATTGCCATCTGCTATACCTAAATACCTGTGATGGTTGTACCCTGGCTTTCTTTTTCCAAGTCCTGATGGAAGCAATGACCAGCACAGTCAGGAAAACGAGCACCACAGGGATAGACAACCATGCTAAGGAAACACATCTCCCTGTCACGTAAGGTAGACTGAAGCTTCTTGCTGGACATGGGTCCCCCTTGAGAGTTAGTCCGTTGCAGGCAGTATTCAATGGGCAAACTGAGCATCTCTCAGTTACAACATCGAATCTGTATCCTGGCTTGCAACCATCTGAATAAGTACAAGTTTTGGATTTTTATTTTTGTTGTTCAAAGCAGTGAATTTCATCTTAAATCTATTCCGATAGCAACCATGTTCTGAGCTTGGCTCTATAAAGATATTTTTAGCTGTTTTGGAGCGGCTGATTCAGATTTGAAGGTCATTGAAATTTAAATGGGAAACATGGGAAATTGAATTGACATTTTATATTACATAACTTTTTGGATAAAAGCAAAGTAGTAGGAAACTAATACCTAGACATTTTAATGAGGTTGACACCACTCCATTTCTAGATTCAGAGTGGTCAGCTCCAATGACCCTTTTACGGTGCAGCCAACAGGTACCATTCTGAGAGAAAGAAACTCTTGAGCAACCATCTTGTGATCTACAACCCAGGATGCAAGCTTTTGTGTCTGATGTTCGGTTCAGCACTTTTAGGACACTACCAGCTCCGAAAACGTTGTCCTCGTAGCAACCATGTTCTAGTGTAAAAGTCTGTTTTAATGAAAAATTAAAATTTAGCCATATTATTACTTACAACTAAGAAAGGAATTTAACAGAATTTAATATGAAATGAATAAATTTGGTTAGCACTTAATTTAAATGCTACATTACAATCAAATCTGAGATACATTGTTCCTGGATAATTTTAAATTAGAAACACACCATGAAAACAATCTGCTACATTAGTTGATCCTTTGAGAGAATCTTTGCCATTTGGACAAGCTGAACAAGAATGAGAGGACATAGCACTGAACGTTCTCCTACCACAAACAGTGCAATCATCAGTTGCAGAATTGTACATCATCCCTTCCTTGCACATCACTGGTTATGGATTTAAAGTTAGTCCAAATATTGAATATAACCTTGATTTTATATAATAACATCAAAATGCTGGCCTATATAACATATGCTTTCTAAGAAGCTAAGACTCATCTGTTCAATAATATGTCTCATAAAAATTTAACCAAAATTGTATCTAAATATTTAGTATATTATCACCCTGTGATCCTGTATTCAGCCCTTTTAATTCAGAACAACTGTACTCACTGCAGCGATCAGAGCAGTCCAACTTTGCTGTACTATTTCCAGGGCAGTCTAGACCATAGCAAACAGGGTTAAAACAGGTTCTGTTCCTTCTTCTATAGCCTAATGAAGAGGTTGAGTTCTCTGCTGACTCACAAAAGCAGTCCCCCCAATTTGTCCAATCGCTCCATTCTCCATCAACTGTCAGACCTTACAAGGGAAATTAGTTTGAGTATTTGAATGACTTCTCTTAAATGATTGACCAGCAGAAATGACATCATCATCATTAAGAGACAAAATACAACATTCAAGGTAAATTGTATTTTTAGCACTTACAGCATCGATCATCACAAGTTCCATTATTAAGAAGTTCACCAACACAGTCCCTAGTGTGTATTTTGTTTCAGTATCAATCAAGTTTTATTCAATTATTGAATCCAAATATAAATTTTTTTGTATAAGTAAAAGACTACAAGTGTTATAAGATTATAGGTCTGTTTTACTGTGAAATACATCAGTATTCCCTTACATTCCATAGCAAGAAGGTGGTGGGTTGGTACAAGATCTAGTTCTGTTCCATGTTCCTGTTCCAGTACTGTGATCACAATCACACCCGCTCCAATTTCCCCAATCTGTCCAGTCTCCGTTTACTGTCTGACCTGAGATATTTTGAGTACTTGAATCTGGCAGCTGATTTATTCTTTAAATCGGCAGGCATTGGGCAGAAATTGTTTATTATTGAACTTAATTTTGATATTCAAACTACAGCAGAATGTTGAGACTTACAGCACTGATCATCACAAGTTCCATTGTTGAGCAGCTCACCAACACAGTCCCTGATATAATGATCAACAATTAAGATAAGACTGGGTAAAAGAAACTGATTTTGGGTGAGAGAAACTGATGCAGTAAACAATTCTTGGTTGATTTCATGGTTAAAAACTGTGACATTATTCCCTTACGTTCCATAGCAAGCAGGTGGTGGGTTGGTACAAGATCTAGTTCTGTTCCATGTTCCTGTTCCAGCACTGTGATCACAATCACACTCGCTCCAATTTCCCCAATCTGTCCAGTCTCCGTTTACTGTTTGACCTGAGATATTTTGAGTACTTGAATCTGGCAGCTGATTTATTATTTCAATTGACAGGCATTGGGCAGAAATTGTTTATCATTGGACTTAATTTTCATATTCAAACTACAGTAAAATGTTGAAACTTACAGCACTGATCATCACAAGTTCCATTGTTGAGCAGCTCACCAACACAGTCCCTGATATAATGATTAACAATTAAGATAAGATTGGGTAAGAAAAACTGATTTTGGGTGAGAGAAACTGATGCAGTAAACGATTCTTGGTTGATTTCATGGTTAAAAACTGTGACATTATTCCCTTACGTTCCATAGCAAGAAGGTGGTGGGTTGGTACAAGATCTAGTTCTGTTCCATGTCCCTGTTCCAGCACTGTGATCACAATCACACCTGCTCCAATTTCCCCAATCTGTCCAGTTCCCGTTTACTGTTTGACCTGAGATATTTTGAGTACTTGAATCTGGCAGCTTATTTATTCTTTAAATCGGCAGGCATTGGGCAGAAATTGTTTATCATCAAACTTAATTTTCATATTGAAACTATAATAGAATGTTGAAACTTACAGCACTGATCATCACAAGTTCCATTGTTGAGCAGCTCACCAACACAGTCCCTAATATAATGATCAACAATTAAGATTTAAGATTCGGTAAAAGAAACTGATTTTTGGGTGAGAGAAACTAATGCAGTAAAAGATTCTTGGTTGATGTCATGGTTAAAAACTGTGACATTATTCCCTTACGTTCCATAGCAAGAAGGTGGTGGGTTGGTACAAGATCTAGTTCTGTTCCATGTTCCTGTTCCAGCACTGTGATCACAATCACACCTGCTCCAATTTCCCCAATCTGTCCAGTTTCCGTTTACTGTTTGACCTGAGATATTTTGAGTACTTAAATCTGGCAGCTGATTTATTCTTTAAATCGGCAGGCATTGGGCAGAAATTGTTTATTATGGTATTGAACTTAATTTTCATATTCAAACTACAGCAGAATGTTGAAACTTACAGCACTGATCATCACAAGTTCCATTGTTGAGCAGCTCACCAACACAGTCCCTAATATAATGATCAACAATTAAGATTTAAGATTCGGTAAAAGAAACTGATTTTTGGGTGAGAGAAACTGATGCAGTAAAAGATTCTTGGTTGATGTCATGGTTAAAAACTGTGACATTATTCCCTTACGTTCCATAGCAAGAAGGTGGTGGGTTGGTACAAGATCTAGTTCTGTTCCATGTTCCTGTTCCAGCACTGTGATCACAATCACACCCGCTCCAATTTCCCCAATCTGTCCAGTTACCGTTTACTGTTTGACCTGAGATATTTTGAGTACTTAAATATGGCAGCTGATTTATTCTTTAAATCGGCAGGCATTGGGCAGAAATTGTTTATTATGGTATTGAACTTAATTTTCATATTCAAACTACAGCAGAATGTTGAAACTTACAGCACTGATCATCACAAGTTCCATTGTTGAGCAGCTCACCAACACAGTCCCTGATATAATGATCAACAATTAAGATAAGACTGGGTAAAAGAAACTGATTTTTGGGTGAGAGAAACTGATGCAGTAAACGATTCTTGGTTGATTTCATGGTTAAAAACTGTGATATTATTCCCTTACGTTCCATGGCAAGAAGGTGGTGGGTTGGTACAAGATCTAGTTCTGTTCCATGTTCCTGTTCCAGCACTGTGATCACAATCACACCTGCTCCAATTTCCCCAATCTGTCCAGTTACCGTTAACTGTTTGACCTGAAAAGTTTTGAACGCTTAAATGTGTTAGCTTATTTATTCTTTAAATTGACAGGCAGTGGGCAGAAATTGTTTATCATCAAACTTAATTTTCATATTCAAACTACAGTAGAATGTTAAAACTTACAGCACTGATCATCACAAGTTCCATTGTTGAGCAGCCCACCAACACAGTCCCTGATATAATGATCAACAATTAAGATAAGATCGGGTAAAAGAAACTGATTTTTGGTACGAGAAACTGATGCAGTAAACGATTCTTGGTTGATTTCATGGTCATAAACTGTGACATTATTCCCTTACGTTCCATAGCAAGCAGGTGGTGGGTTGGTACAAGATCTAGATCTGTTCCATGTTCCTGTTCCAGCACTGTGATCACAATCACACCTGCTCCAATTTCCCCAATCTGTCCAGTTTCCGTTTACTGTTTGACCTGAGATATTTTGAGTACTTAAATCTGGTTGCTTATTTATTCTTTAAATCGGCAGGCACTGGGCAGTAATTGTTTATTATGGTATTGAGCTTAATTTTCATATTCAAACTACAGTAGAATGGTGAGACTTACAGCACTGATCATCACAAGTTCCATTGTTGAGCAGCTCACCAACACAGTCCCTGATATAATGATTAACAATTAAGATAAGATTGGGTAAAAGAAACTGAATTTGGGTAAGAGAAACTGATGCAGTAAACGATTCTTGGTTGATTTCATGGTTAAAAACTGTGACATTATTCCCTTACGTTCCATAGCAAGAAGGTGGTGGGTTGGTACAAGATCTAGTTCTGTTCCATGTTCCTGTTCCAGCACTGTGATCACAATCACACCTGCTCCAATTTCCCCAATCTGTCCAGTTACCGTTTACTGTTTGACCTGAGATATTTTGAGTACCTAAATCTGGCAGCTGATTTATTCTTTAAATCGACAGGCACTGGGCAGAAATTGTTTATCATCAAACTTAATTTTCATATTCAAACTACAGTAGAATGTTAAAACTTACAGCACTGATCATCACAAGTTCCATTGTTGAGCAGCTCACCAACACAGTCCCTGATATAATGATTAACAATTAAGATAAGATTGGGTAAAAGAAACTGAATTTGGGTAAGAGAAACTGATGCAGTAAACGATTCTTGGTTGATTTCATGGTTAAAAACTGTGACATTATTCCCTTACGTTCCATAGCAAGAAGGTGGTGGGTTGGTACAAGATCTAGTTCTGTTCCATGTTCCTGTTCCAGCACTGTGATCACAATCACACCTGCTCCAATTTCCCCAATCTGTCCAGTTTCCGTTTACTGTTTGACCTGAGATATTTTGAGTACTTAAATCCGGCAGCTGATTTATTTTTTCAATTGCCAGGCATTGGGCAGAAATTGTTTATCATCGAACTTAATTTTCATATTCAAACTACAGTAAAATGTTGAAACTTACAGCACTGATCATCACAAGTTCCATTGTTGAGCAGCTCACCAACACAGTCCCTGATATAATGATTAACAATTAAGATAAGATTGGGTAAAAGAAACTGATTTTGGGTAAGAGAAACTGATGCAGTAAACGATTCTTGGTTGATTTCATGGTTAAAAACTGTGATATTATTCCCTTACGTTCCATGGCAAGAAGGTGGTGGGTTGGTACAAGATCTAGTTCTGTTCCATGTTCCTGTTCCAGCATTGTGATCACAATCACACCCGCTCCAATTTCCCCAATCTGTCCAGTTTCCGTTTACTGTTTGACCTGAGATATTTTGAGTACTTAAATCTGGCAGCTGATTTATTCTTTAAATCGGCAGTCATTGGCAGAAATTGTTTATTACGGTATTGAGCTTAATTTTCATATTCAAACTACAGTAAAATGTTGAAACTTACAGCACTGATCATCACAAGTTCCATTGTTGAGCAGCTCACCAACACAGTCCCTAATATAATGATTAACAATTAAGATAAGACTGGGTAAAAGAAACTGATTTTTGGGTGGGAGAAACTGATGCAGTAAACCATTCTTGGTTGATTTCATGGTTAAAAACTGTGACATTATTCCCTTACGTTCCATAGCAAGAAGATGGTGGGTTGGTACAAGATCTAGTTCTGTTCCATTTTCCTGTTCCAGCACTGTGATCACAATCACACCTGCTCCAATTTCCCCAATCTGTCCAGTTTCCGTTTACTGTTTGACCTGAGATATTTTGAGTACTTAAATCTGGCAGCTGATTTATTCTTTAAATCGGCAGTCATTGGCAGAAATTGTTTATTACGGTATTGAGCTTAATTTTCATATTCAAACTACAGTAAAATGTTGAAACTTACAGCACTGATCATCACAAGTTCCATTGTTGAGCAGCTCACCAACACAGTCCCTAATATAATGATCAACAATTAAGATAAGATTGGGTAAAAGAAACTGATTTTTGGGTGAGAGAAACTGATGCAGTAAACGATTCTTGGTTGATTTCATGGTTAAAAACTGTGATATTATTCCCTTACGTTCCATAGCAAGAAGGTGGTGGGTTGGTACAAGATCTAGTTCTGTTCCATGTTCCTGTTCCAGTACTGTGATCACAATCACACCTGCTCCAATTTCCCCAATCTGTCCAGTCTCCGTTTACTGTTTGACCTGAGATATTTTGAGTACTTAAATCTGGCAGCTTATTTATTCTTTAAATCGACAGGCAGTGGGCAGAAATTGTTCATCATTGAGCTTAATTTTCATATTCAAACTAGAGTAGAATGTTGAAACTTACAGCACTGATCATCACAAGTTCCATTGTTGAGCAGCTCACCAACACAGTCCCTAATATAATGATTAACAATTAAGATAAGATTAGGTAAAAGAAACTGATTTTTGGTAAAAGAAACTGATGCAGTAAACGATTCTTGGTTGATTTCATGGTTAAAAACTGTGACATTGTTCCCTTACGTTCCATGGCAAGAAGATGGTGGGTTGGTACAAGATCTAGTTCTGTTCCATGTTCCTGTTCCAGCATTGTGATCACAATCACACCTGCTCCAATTTCCCCAATCTGTCCAGTTACCGTTTACTGTTTGACCTGAAAAGTTTTGAACGCTTAAATGTGTTAGCTTATTTATTCTTTAAATTGACAGGCAGTGGGCAGAAATTTTTCATCATCAAACTTAATTTTCATATTCAAACTACAGTAGAATGTTGAAACTTACAGCACTGATCATCACAAGTTCCATTGTTGAGCAGCTCACCAGCACAGTCCCTGATATAATGATTAACAATTAAGATAAGATTGGGTAAAAGAAACTGATTTTTGGGTGAGAGAAACTGATGCAGTAAACGATTCTTGGTTGATTTCATGGTTAAAAACTGTGACATTATTCCCTTACGTTCCATGGCAAGAAGGTGGTGGGTTGGTACAAGATCTAGTTCTGTTCCATGTTCCTGTTCCAGCACTGTGATCACAATCACACCTGCTCCAATTTCCCCAATCTGTCCAGTTTCCGTTTACTGTCTGACCTGAGATATTTTGAGTTCTTAAATCTGGCAGCTGATTTATTCTTTAAATCGGCAGGCATTGGGCAGAAATTGTTTATCATTGAACTTAATTTTCATATTCAAACTACAGTAGAATGTTGAAACTTACAGCACTGATCATCACAAGTTCCATTGTTGAGCAGCTCACCAACACAGTCCCTAATATAATGATTAACAATTAAGATAAGACTGGGTAAAAGAAACTGATTTTTGGGTGAGAGAAACTGATGCAGTAAACGATTCTTGGTTGATTTCATGGTCATAAACTGTGACATTATTTCCTTACGTTCCATAGCAAGCAGGTGGTGGGTTGGTACAAGATCTAGTTCTGTTCCATGTCCCTGTTCCAGCACTGTGATCACAATCACACCTGCTCCAATTTCCCCAATCTGTCCAGTTTCCGTTTACTGTCTGACCTGAGATATTTTGAGTTCTTAAATCTGGCAGCTGATTTATTCTTTAAATCGGCAGGCATTGGGCAGAAATTGTTTATCATTGAACTTAATTTTCATATTCAAACTACAGTAGAATGTTGAAACTTACAGCACTGATCATCACAAGTTCCATTGTTGAGCAGCTCACCAACACAGTCCCTAATATAATGATTAACAATTAAGATAAGACTGGGTAAAAGAAACTGATTTTTGGGTGAGAGAAACTGATGCAGTAAACGATTCTTGGTTGATTTCATGGTTAAAAATTGTGATATTATTCCCTTACGTTCCATGGCAAGAAGGTGGTGGGTTGGTACAAGATCTAGTTCTGTTCCATGTTCCTGTTCCAGCACTGTGATCACAATCACACCTGCTCCAATTTCCCCAATCTGTCCAGTTTCCGTTTACTGTTTGACCTGAGATATTTTGAGTACTTAAATCTGGCAGCTGATTTATAAATTTATTCTTGCAATTGACAGGCAGTGGGCAGAAATTGTTTAACATTGAACTTAATTTTCATATTCAAACTACAGTAGAATGTTGAAACTTACAGCACTGATCATCACAAGTTCCATTGTTGAGCAGCTCACCAACACAGTCCCTGATATAATGATCAACAATTAAGATAAGATTGGGTAAGAAAAACTGATTTTGGGTGAGAGAAACTGATGCAGTAAACGATTTTTGGTTGATTTCATGGTTAAAAATTGTGACATTATTCCCTTACGTTCCATGGCAAGAAGGTGGTGGGTTGGTACAAGATCTAGTTCTGTTCCATGTTCCTGTTCCAGTACTGTGATCACAATCACACCTGCTCCAATTTCCCCAATCTGTCCAGTTACCGTTTACTGTTTGACCTGAGATATTTTGAGTACCTAAATCTGGCAGCTGATTTATTCTTTAAATTGACAGGCAGTGGGCAGAAATTGTTTATCATCAAACTTAATTTTCATATTCAAACTACAGTAGCATGTTGAAACTTACAGCACTGATCATCACAAGTTCCATTGTTGAGCAGCTCACCAACACAGTCCCTGATATAATGATCACAATTAAGATAAGACTGGGTAAAAGAAACTGATTTTTGGGTGAGAGAAACTGATGCAGTAAACGATTCTTGGTTGATTTCATGGTCATAAACTGTGACATTATTTCCTTACGTTCCATAGCAAGCAGGTGGTGGGTTGGTACAAGATCTAGTTCTGTTCCATGTTCCTGTTCCAGCACTGTGATCACAATCACACCTGCTCCAATTTCCCCAATCTGTCCAGTTTCCGTTTACTGTTTGACCTGAGATATTTTGAGTACTTAAATCTGGCAGCTGATTTATTATTTAAATCGGAAGGCATTGGGCAGAAATTGTTTATCATTGAACTTAATTTTCATATTCAAACTAGAGTAGAATGTTGAAACTTACAGCACTGATCATCACAAGTTCCATTGTTGAGCAGCTCACCAACACAGTCCCTGATATAATGATTAACAATTAAGATAAGATTGGGTAAAAGAAACTGATTTTTGGGTGAGAGAAACTGATGCAGTAAACGATTCTTGGTTGATTTCATGGTTAAAAACGGTGACATTATTCCCTTACGTTCCATAGCAAGAAGGTGGTGGGTTGGTACAAGATCTAGTTCTGTTCCATGTTCCTGTTCCAGTACTGTGATCACAATCACACCTGCTCCAATTTCCCCAATCTGTCCAGTTACCGTTTACTGTTTGACCTGAGATATTTTGAGTACCTAAATCTCCAGATATCTGGCAGCTGATTTATTCTTTAAATCGGCAGGCATTGGGCAGAAATTGTTTATCATTGAACTTAATTTTCGTATTCAAACTACAGTAGAATGTTGAAACTTACAGCACCGATCATCACAAGTTCCATTGTTGAGCAGCTCACCAACACAGTCCCTGATATAATGATCAACAATTAAGATAAGATTGGGTAAAAGAAACTGATTTTTGGGTGAGAGAAACTGATGCAGTAAACGATTCTTGGTTGATTTCATGGTTAAAAACTGTGATATTGTTCCCTTACGTTCCATAGCAAGCAGGTGGTGGTTTGGTACAAGATCTAGTTCTGTTCCATGTTCCTGTTCCAGTACTGTGATCACAATCACACCTGCTCCAATTTCCCCAATCTGTCCAGTTACCGTTTACTGTTTGACCTGAGATATTTTGAGTACTTAAATCTGGCAGCTGATTTATTCTTTAAATCGGCAGGCATTGGGCAGAAATTGTTTATTATTGAACTTAATTTTCATATTCAAACTAGAGTAGAATGTTGAAACTTACAGCACTGATCATCACAAGTTCCATTGTTGAGCAGCTCACCAGCACAGTCCCTGATATAATGATTAACAATTAAGATAAGATCGGGTAAAAGAAACTGATTTTGGGTGAGAGAAACTGATGCAGTAAACGATTCTTGGTTGATTTCATGGTTAAAAACTGTGATATTATTCCCTTACGTTCCATGGCAAGAAGGTGGTGGGTCGGTACAAGATCTAGTTCTGTTCCATGTTCCTGTTCCAGCACTGTGATCACAATCACACCTGCTCCAATTTCCCCAATCTGTCCAGTCTCCGTTTACTGTTTGACCTGATTTAACATTTGCATGTATTTTAAGGTGTTATACATTATGCATGTATTGGTTGCTTCATGAGCTGAACGACCTATAATAAGTTCAGACTAGAAATATTATATTATTGTAGTTGATATTAATTAAGGATACCTTGCCTATTCCCCTTTTAACCCTCTAGTTGATGCAATTACTTACAACATTGACTGTCGCAGTTTCCTGTGTCGGAAGATGATCCTGAGCAGGATGACCCCCCACAGGCTGGTGAGGGGTTGTTGCAGGATCTAGTTCGGGTCCATGTTCCGGTGCCAGAGTTGTGGTTACAGGTACAGCTACCCCATCCAGCCCAGCTGCTCCATCCTCCGTTAAATGTTTGACCTGATAATATGTTTTATTGTAAACTGATTGTCCCTTTAGCAGATCTAATACAGATGGGAAAAGAATGTACATTGTGTATGAGTCAGATTTCTTAATTTTGCTCAATATGATCTGCGAACGACTGAATTGCCTATACAAAACGTCGAACATCCAGCACTAAGTAGTCTAAAACAAGATTTCAATAATCAAGCATGGGAATACAATAACTAAATTATAACTATGCCATTAAATGATACCTAGAACTTGTTTAATTCAAAATTGCCTTCATTCCTTGCTTAGTTCCCTTTCAACCCTTTCTTTGAATATACTTACAACATTGACTGTCGCAGTTTGCAGTGTCGGAAGATGATCCTGAGCAGGATGACCCCCCACAGGCTGGTGAGGGATTGTTACAGGATCTAGTTCGGGTCCTTGTTCCGGTGCCAGAGTTGTGGTTACAGGTACAGCTACCATATCCAATCCAGCTGCTCCATCCTCCATTTCTTGTCGTGCCTGTACAAGATTATTTGGGTTTTTGTCAAATGTGACCTCGTCATATTATATATTATTATTATTATATACTATTTGGTCATTCTCAATACATCTAGGAGACAGTTATCATGTCATGAAACAAATTCTTACATTTGCTGGAAAGTCTGTAGTAATGCGTTACTGCAGAATCGGAATAGAAGAATACGGGATAACTCCCTGTTCCAAAGCTTAGCCACTGTGAATATGTTAGGCAGCTAAAATAACTCCCCCGATAAAGTTGTCCTACTCGGATTCCACTACAGTAAATATTTAGGTAGTTCGAATCTCTACTGAATTTCCAGGTTCTGGTATAGGTGCTTGGTACAGGAACATTGGTAAACGTTACATCCGTGTCACAACCAGAGCTAGTTCCTGATGCGTGAATATCTACTGTCATGGTTGAACTGGACGAGCTCAAATACCATTCAAGGGCTATCCAACCTGATCCATACTTAAAATGGATATCAAACTGGCCACCATCACTTCCACTTGCTTGAACTTCCAAATCATAATTGTTGAAGTCCACATAAATCAGATTGCTATCTCCTTTGTATATCGTGTTCCAGGTTAAACCTGTGGCAGAGCTCAATTATTAGTTATTCATAATTGTAAATTTCTTCTTAGATGAAGGAAGTGCTTGAATATTGCATTGGTGTGCCTTTATCGTATCATTAACGAAAATATATGAAGATATGAACGCCGAACTGGTTTCAAATAAAACTGCCATAGAAAAATAGAAACATATTTCTGCACCTGTGAAGTGAAGCTACTGATCTAGCTAAAGTAAATACTTATATTATTTTTTCAAGTGAAGACTTCATGTTATCTAGGTAGGTTATCTAGGTACTCACATTGCTCTGCTCCCATCAACAAAAGAATTACACCCAGGAGAAATTTATCACTCATGATAATTTGCCAAGATTTGGTATCTGATCTATTCTTAAGTATTCTTAGTTGAATCCATGGACAACGTATAAAAGTCTGGACAAAATTGACAAGTTAAAAACGGACCAAAGATAAAAGTGTTAAATAACATTCAACAAATCATCTGCATTTCATTCTCAAAACGAAAACACAATTCTTGACAGAAAATCCAAAAAACCACGTTGAGAAATAAGATTGAAAGGAAGTACCCTCAACTAATACTATTTACGTTTATTGAATCTTCCATTAATAAAATATACCTAAAACATCTGTACATGGTATTGAATGGAAAGAGTTCTTGATAATGCTATTCTCGATTGAAAATTTAAGTACAAAATCAAGACTATGAAACATGGTTCAAAACTATTTCTAGCTCAGACAACAACAAAGAAATAAAGAAACATATGAGAGCCAGAAGTCAGAAATCGACCTGTGCTAGGGCCGGGCGCGGGTATCATGGAATGATCAAGCGTCACAGATCAGGTCCAACAGATCACATGAATTCCATTCACGCCTATATTTCAGATGATTTTATATCTCAGTCAGCTGAGTGAATCATATCTTCATTTCATTGGTCAATATCGGCATGAAGTGAACTCACAACTATGGTTTGTGCAAATTATCAGATGCATAATCGAAATTTTCTCTAAATACGTCAAATTTTGAATTTCTGTTTCCTACTTAGGATGGATATGAGAATATAGCCCTACTCAAAGTCAAATAGATCCAGGGAGATATTTGATATTCTACTTAAGTTAACGATGCCTGGCCACATTTTAGGAATGGGCACAGTCACATCTTACATTTAATTCACAATTTTACGGTTATTTACTAAGAGCTGATCGTAGGAAGTCTATATAAGTTAGAACGTGTCAATTGGACATCTTTGTCCACTGAAAGTTAGAAAAGTGATGGAATAAATTCTAACTAGTCATTTAAATTGAGCAGAAATTAGTTTGACTTTGTAACCGATCTTTTCTCACTGTCAACATTGGAATCAAAATTTCCCAAAAAGTGATTACGTAATATGTGAACGACCCCTAAGACTTCGAAATTCAAGAATCTTCTAATTAGAGACCACAGCAAGAATGATATTGCTGCTCTAAAACAATTTCTTTCGAAACCAGTAATTTCAACCAATATTAGACTCAAACAATGTAAATGAGGCTGCTGATGGGCACACACTACTATTACAGTCAACTTTGTCAAACCAATTAAATGGACACAGCCACTGTATCCATAAACCTTCCAAAGAATTGTTGGCAAATATCAAACTGAAGAATAAACCACAAATTTAAATGACTCAGTTTTAATAAGCTTTCCTCTGGCCAAACTAACTTACTAACTGTTAGACTTCAATAACTGTTTTTTTCCCCCGTTCAAATAACTGCTTCAGTGCGTTCCAGACCTTTTGGTTAAAAAAAAATATATTTCAATATCAGTTATTATATAATGTAAAGTATGATTATTATTCTTAAAACATCTGCATATTTTAAAAGAATCCTAACCGAACCTACCTTAACTAGGAGATGAGTCAAATAAAGCAGCGGTTAACAAGATGGGTACATCAGCCTGCAGATCAGAGGTGCAAGAGTTACATATTCTTCACCACTGTAGGGTCGTTTATTGCTCGAGCTGTCCAGTTCGGGAAACTGCCCTACTTCAGCGATAAAACTAACTTTCTTAATCAGGTCCGTCTGAAATGAGAGATTTTATTGTTAACTATTTTAGTTATCTGGTTATAGATTATGGTAAAGTGGATTTAAGAACATATTTCATGGGATTTTAGTTTGTTATTTAATTTTATAGTCCAAGAAATGAGTCATAAGGGGGGGGGGGGGGGGGGGGGGGGGGGGGTTGCAACGACCATTAATGTCAGTAGATGGAATTTTGTCAAAACTGACATTGTCATTAATGGTCATTAATGGTCATTAATGGTCATTAAATAATTGAAATCTTGGAAGCAGCATGTCCAATAACTGTATCAATGGGAAAGTTTAATAAGCTATTGGAAACAGAAAAAATCCTCGGTTTAAATGGAGACCTGGACGATTCACTGAAGTTAACCACTGCCCATACCCAGGGAAAAACATTATTCCCAAAGCGATGGAATAAGCACCAAGATAAAGGTGAAATCGTGGAGCAGGGAAGCACAATTAAGATGAATAAGCTTCTAGACAGCATGAAAAGGGGTTCAAAATCGGGTGAGTTGCTGTTCTCCTCATCTTCTGGGTACAAAAAGTCCTACTTGAATAGTGACAGTGATTTAATTCGTGCGAAGGCCAACCGTGTTTTCCGAACTGTACCCTGGTGATGATGAAAGAGAAGAGGAATCAGATAATGAGTCAGATTTCGTCGCACCAGATAGTGAAAGTGAAGACAAGGATCTTCATGACTTAGTTACTATAAAAAACAAGAAAATGAACAAAAACACCGCTATTATGAAGTTCTGTAATTTTGGTAAGACGATATTTGGAAATAAAAGTCGGAGATCGAAATTTTTTGGTACCGGCTGTTTCGAGGGATATGTGCCATACCAACCGGGCTGCAAAAGTTCTTCTAAGCCCTGTCAACGTCGAACAATTCGAAAGGGCGACTCATTAAGTGCTACCTTTGTTCCAAAAAAGGCTAAACGTCCCCTTCGTTGCCTCGGTACCATCTTATCAATGAGTGTCTCTGCTTCAAAAAAGGGCGACTGCAGATCTAGACGAATTCCTGCCGCATCAATTCGTCCCTATCATGATGACAGTGCTCGATTTTGGGTCAAAACTGCCAAAGACAGAGTATTGAACTGTAAACGAATTGTTCTATCTAATCCTAGGAAAAGATCAGCTTTTTTGTTGTTCGATTCAGACTGATGACGATGTATTTCATGAAGTGCTAAAGTTGGATAAGTTCATCTACTGTGTAATTACTATATAATCGACTAGCATAATGATTTGGCTAAAATATAAATCTTGATATGATATAAGAACGGGAACGAAGTATTTAATTTTAATACCCGTGTTATTATTATTTTATTATTGATTGTTATTTTACTATTGATACGATCTGATACTCCTAAATTGCCCTTTGAATTATTATTATTGATAACTATAAGTCACCAACTGTTATCTGGTTTAAATCCCGTGGCCGCAAAATTTGTTCTTCATTACATTCGAACTTAATAAATGTAATCCCTAACTCACTCTGGAATCCACTCAAGTGATATTCTGGAAGGTCTGCCTAACCACGGAAGATTCTATTCTAAGTTTTCTCTTTTGAATCTCTAATTGTAAATGTAAAATAATAACATATACTTGTAGTTAGTTTACCTAAGGTAGGGTCTAAGTGATGCAGGCGTCCGTCCTTTTCGCTCTAAGAAGTGCCGGAAAAAAACATGACCATTAATGTCAGTAGATGAAATTTTGACAAAACTGACATTGTCATTAATGGTCATTAATGGTCATTAATGGTCATTAATGGTCATTAATGGTCATTAATGGTCATTAATGGTCGTTGCAACCCCCCCGTCATAAGCACATTTTACAGGATAAAACATAGATGAATCGATAAAAATTAGATTAAATCCATTAAATTGAACACATTACAATTATGGTGGTAACTAGGTGGTAACTAGGTGGTAACTACATTACCATTATACTTAAATCAATAACTATTAATTACCTCACAGGTGTTTGTTAAGCAATGTTGGGCGTGGACACTACTGCTGATAACACTAATTACTCTTCTTAGAGTGATATTGGATAAATTACCCCTCAGAAAAGTGTATATAGTTACTCTTAGGCTTATGTTTGGAACTTTATTCTGGTTAGTTTTACTTAAGAACTGTAATAGTTTAATATATTGTGGCCAGTATTTCAAACTGACTGATTAATTTTGTATTTGGGCCGCCTGTTATAAGAGGCCTCTTGTAGCCGGTGGGCCCGACATGATACGACATATCTCGACACGTCGGGGTTTGTCGGGGTTTGTCAGGGTTTGTCGGGATTCGTTAATAATGGATGAAAAGTGATTAGAAGTTGCCTAAAGAAGATTGATCAATGGGGTTGTGTGTTTTTTTAATTTTTTAATTTTTAAAAAGTTCCATTTTTTTATTTTTATTTTTTTTAAAGTTCCATTTTTTTTTTTTCTTTTAAATATTTTTTTAATCCCATGGAGGCCTCATGTAGCCGGTGGGCCTCATGTAGCCGGTGGGCCCGACATGATACGACATATCTCGACACGTCGGGGATATGTCGGGGTTTGTCGGGGTTAGTCGAGCCTGGAGGCTACATGAGGCCTTATAAGATAAAAATTAGGTCAGAATATGGGTGTACCAAAATCTGAAAATTTATCTACTCACTCTGTAACGAAATTTCGACTTTTAATTACTCAAAAACGGATTGATTTCTCACTATTTTCTTTGGCAGATATGTAAATCGTAGGTTTGTAAAGCCTTAGAAACATAATTCAACCAATATAATAATGAACCTGTTTTCTTGGACATTTTTCGGAGAAAATGTGTAAAATTGTCACACCGTAACATTCTATAGTTTTGAAATATGCCCATAAATAAGGCAATACCTGTACAGGGACATCTGCCGATTTTGGTACTTCTCATTCATAAATTTATAATGTGACCTAATTCGTGGCGTTAGGCCAAACGCATACCAAAAACCAGCCAAGCCAAGTATTTTAATTGATATTAGATAAGCCCCAATATTGTGTGGAATAAGACTTTCCCAGGTATATTGGTATACGACCCTGGTCATTAGAAAAGTTCGCACGAGATGGACCACGTTTTTCCCAATTTAACTTTAGAAGATTGTCACAGCAAGAACTTTTAACATTATATCTGTTTAAGATCTAAGGCATATGATATTTCACACGTCTATATTTCAACTAATTGAGTTTCGGTTAATAAAATTTTTGAAGCATTTAGTCGAGGGCAAATTGAGGCTAACGAGTAATTTTCATTCTTTTCCTAATGACAGCTTCCAAGCATGCAATAAAAGTTTAAACGTGTTCAATCGATATATAATATAGTGTGTTTTTTATTTACCCTTTTCATATTTTACACCTTTACACCACATATCTCCCAGGTATTCGATGACAACGATAATAGATGGTTTGAAAGATAACATGGGTAAGTGCACTGCAGGGGAGGGAGAGTATAATACCCGACTGCTCTGTGTTACTGAGGGGGGCTCTTGGAAATACGTCATGGATATCTCAGGTAACCATTTGTTGTTGTTTTTTAATTGGTCAATATTTGTTGTATAAATTATGTTATTTGGTCAAAATCTTTATTTGTCTTCTATTCTGCTTGTTGTCTTCCCTACTGTAAAATCTAAGATGTATCAAGTTTTATTTCTCGATCGATTTACCCTGACTTTGCATACTTGCATATATTTTGCAAGTTTGCATGGCTATTCGGTTATTAGAAACAATGCAAATGATTATATCAAAACGGTTATCTCACAGGTCACATGTTCATGATGGTATTTTGCAATCTTTTCATCACCAAAACTCTCGACGAAATCAACCAGCAGCAAGATAAAGGTATTCACTATTATAATTTACCCTAATTTAACCTTCAAATACAATCCTGTCACTCCTTATTTGGGAATCACGTGGTTTTACCTTCAAATACCTCTGGTTTTGTCTCCGTCTGGACACAATTGTTCATTGTTGAGTGGACTAATGATATTCTGCTGACATCTTAAATACTCTGTTATTTCGCGACACTCAGAGCCTGCCTTTGTACATGTTATCCGACAATCCACAACTTGATAATCCATCCATCGATGTGTAATGCATAAAGTTGTGTAATGCACGGTTAACGCATAAAGTTGTGTAATGCACGGTTAACGCATAAAGTTGTGTAATGCACGGTTAACGCATAAAGTTGTGTAATGCACGGTTAACGCATAAAGTTGTGTAATGCACGGTTAACGCATAAAGTTGTGTAATGCACGGTTAACGCATAAAGTTGTGTAATGCACGGTTAACGCATAAAGTTGTGTAATGCACGGTTAACGCATAAAGTTGTGTAATGCACGGTTAACGCATAAAGTTGTGTAATGCACGGTTAACGCATAAAGTTGTGTAATGCACGGTTAACGCATAAAGTTGTGTAATGCACGGTTAACGCATAAAGTTGTGTAATGCACGGTTAACGCATAAAGTTGTCTAATGCACGGTTAACGCATAAAGTTGTGTAATGCACGGTTAACGCATAAAATTGTGTAATGCACGGTTAACGCATAAAGTTGTGTAATGCACGGTTAACGCATAAAGTTGTGTAATGCACGGTTAACGCATAAAGTTGTGTAATGCACGGTTAACGCATAAAGTTGTGTAATGCACGGTTAACGCATAAAGTTGTGTAATGCACGGTTAACGCATAAAGTTGTGTAATGCACGGTTAACGCATAAAGTTGTGTAATGCACGGTTAACGCATAAAGTTGTGTAATGCACGGTTAACGCATAAAGTTGTGTAATGCACGGTTAACGCATAAAGTTGTGTAATGCACGGTTAACGCATAAAGTTGTGTAATGCACGGTTAACGCATAAAGTTGTGTAATGCACGGTTAACGCATAAAGTTGTGTAATGCACGGTTAACGCATAAAGTTGTGTAATGCACGGTTAACGCATAAAGTTGTGTAATGCACGGTTAACGCATAAAGTTGTGTAATGCACGGTTAACGCATAAAGTTGTGTAATGCACGGTTAACGCATAAAGTTGTGTAATGCACGGTTAACGCATAAAGTTGTGTAATGCACGGTTAACGCATAAAGTTGTGTAATGCACGGTTAACGCATAAAGTTGTGTAATGCACGGTTAACGCATAAAGTTGTGTAATGCACGGTTAACGCATAAAGTTGTGTAATGCACGGTTAACGCATAAAGTTGTGTAATGCACGGTTAACGCATAAAGTTGTGTAATGCACGGTTAACGCATAAAGTTGTGTAATGCACGGTTAACGCATAAAGTTGTGTAATGCACGGTTAACGCATAAAGTTGTGTAATGCACGGTTAACGCATAAAGTTGTGTAATGCACGGTTAACGCATAAAGTTGTGTAATGCACGGTTAACGCATAAAGTTGTGTAATGCACGGTTAACGCATAAAGTTGTGTAATGCACGGTTAACGCATAAAGTTGTGTAATGCACGGTTAACGCATAAAGTTGTGTAATGCACGGTTAACGCATAAAGTTGTGTAATGCACGGTTAACGCATAAAGTTGTGTAATGCACGGTTAACGCATAAAGTTGTGTAATGCACGGTTAACGCATAAAGTTGTGTAATGCACGGTTAACGCATAAAGTTGTGTAATGCACGGTTAACGCATAAAGTTGCTGTTCAGCTGGCTGCCCGACCTTGGGGAATGAGTGATATGACCACCATATAGTATCAAGTAATGAACATGCAAGCTTGAAGCACCGTGGGAAATAAGAGAAGCTGACACTTAAGGGGTTCACCCAGATTTTTTTGTGAAATTTAATTTCGTGATAGCAATTGATCAAAAAACTAGGGCCTGTGACCGAACTTTTAAGGGAGTTCCGGTGCCCGCGGGACAGCCACGCCCATGGCTGTCCCGCGGGTACCGGAACTCCCAATTATGCCAAATCACCTTAACAATAACATGCTCAAAACCCTGATATTAGGTGCTCTACTTGTAGCTAGTGGTCCCCTGAACTCGTATATGAATTTTCATCAAGATTGGAAAAAAATTACTGAGTTATGAGCCAAAAACCATATGCCCATATTTGGGCATACGCTCCAAATTTGATCGATTTTGGCCCATAGATTGGTCAAATATCAATATTTTTGAATGAAACCACCTATATAAGGTAAGTTTAAACTACACATTGTCTATGATTATCAGCTCAATATCTACCTAACTATGCACCCGGAGTCCGGAACCCCCTCAAAAGTTCGGTCACGGCCCTAGTTTGTTGATCAATTGCTATCACGAAATCAAATTTCACAACAAAAGTTATCATGTAACATGTTGTTACCTGTTTCAGATCCACTACAACTACCCCACGTGATATTACACTATATTGTTACCTGTTTCAGATCCACTACAACTAGCCCACGTGATATTACACTATATTGTTACCTTTTTCAGATCCACTACAACTAGCCCACGTGATATTACACGCGGTCTGCAGACTATTTGTTATCCTGTTTGATATCATGATGGTGTTTACCATCCTTTACTGGCACTCGCCCCCCGAGAAGATACTGGGCACTTTAACTGGTGTTCTGGGATACTTCTTACTCTTTAAACAGTTGTCTAGCTTTATTCCTACTAATTGGGTGTAATTAGCTTTATTCCTACTAATTGGGTGTAATTAGCTTTATTCCTACTAATTGGGTGTAATTAGCTTTATTCCTACTAATTGGGTGTAATTAGCTTTATTCCTACTAATTGGGTGTAATTAGCTTTATTCCTACTAATTGGGTGTAATTAGCTTTATTCCTACTAATTGGGTGTAATTAGCTTTATTCCTACTAATTGGGTGTAATTAGTTGATCCGTGGTGTTTTTGTTATTATATTTAAAATTGAGCTAAATTATTGGTTTATTTCATTTAGTTTAGAAGAAATAATATAGTTTCATAACCAGAGCATCTATTTTATAAACAACAAGGTATTTAGGTTTGTAAAACCTGTTACAACAAATTCTTCAGTTTTCTCTATTTCATCATGACCTGTGTGTTGAAAGCCTGTATTTATTACGCTCAGTTCCCCTTACCTCAGAGCACGTAGTGATGTACTGCTTTTCAAGGGTACGTGCTTGTACGTATACTAGTAACACACTCTAGATATAGGTGGGAGACGTAGCTTTCTACACCATTATCTTATGTGTGATAATGATAATATACTCCTTTATAAAACTATCTTTCCCGGTATGTAACTCTGATTTTTCTCCTATTGAACGTGAGGTGGAGTGTGCTTGTGTTGATTTGTGTACTGTTGAACATGTTGATATGTGTAATGTGTACTGTTGAACATGTTGATATGTTTACTGTTGAACATGTTGATATGTGTAGTGTGTACTGTTGAACATGTTGAACTACGTGTTTCACTTACCATTCTAGTCAAGTAGCTACTATAACATAATAATAGGGATAATAATATGTGACGTGAGACGGTAATTTGAGACAGTGATTTGCCTTACGTCTAGTACGTAGGGGTTTTTGTTTTGGCTTTTGGATGTTATTACGATACTCTTCTTTAAGCTTATGACTTCTATCTTATTATCATATCCTAGCGCTAGTGTATATTATGGTATAGTTTAATCATTATCTAAGTTTATCTGGGCAAATATGTATTTTTCATAGTTTATGCAAGTTTTTTAGTTTTTATAATTTAGGTTTTTGCGTTTAAGTTTAATAAGAGTGGGCTATTTTATTTTCCTTAGTTATTACAGTGGGTAACTTGAACTTTTTATTCTAGTGAGACCTAGTGGTTTTACAATTTTATTGTACAGATTGAGATATGAAACTGTTAATTTTACTTGCTTCACGATAAGAATCAAGAACATCTGTCAGTAGAATAATACAGCATCTTGATTTCACCTAAGGTAATTAATTATTTAATTAATTAACCAAAGGTAATTACGATTTTTCATAGATTTCAGTGCTGTCCTGACTTTCAACTTTACAATAACCTCCTCTCACTAATTAGCTAAATATTCTTATAATCAATCAATTAACTTTTAATGTCTGAAAGGATGGTGGTGACTACAAGTGAACAGATTGAGCATGACGAAATGCAATACCTAAATCTCATACAGACTATCATAGCTAAAGGTACGTGTATTTGGAGATCTTAACTGAGTAAAATGTACTTTGTTTAAGAACACTGTCCATTTAATACTTTAACACTACACTACACTGCACTATACTACACTACACTACACTACACTACACTACACTACACTACACTACACTACACTACACTACACTACACTACACTACACTACACTACACTACACTACACTACACTACACTACACTACACTACACTAAACTACACTACACTACACTTCACTTCACTACACTACACTACACTACACTACACTACACTACACTACACTACACTACACTAAACTACACTACACTACACTACACTACACTACACTACACTACACTACACTACACTACACTACACTACACTACACTACACTACACTACACTACACTACACTACACTACACTAAACTACACTACACTACACTTCACTACACTACACTACACTACACTACACTACACTACACTACACTACACTACACTACACTATACTACACTACACTACACTACACTGTAGTAAATAATTGTACCAGTGTACTTGTAATCAGAGGGCATATTGTTCAAGTTTTATAGTGTGGTGTATGTTTGTCCCAAGTAAAACAATTAGCAGGCAGTGAACACTTTTTCTATGACATTGGAATGTAATTATTATTATTTTGATAATAATGAAGTGGCGTGAGACAAAGTTTTAATACAAGGGGTTCATAGTACCATGAATGTACGATGTACAAAGTACAATGTACAATGTACATACTAGTATCTATCAAACTACGTGAAATTTAGAGCGGGTTTTTCACTCTATCTATGTCTCTGACTCACTTTCACACTCTCACCCACCTAAAGGAAATTGCCGCGGTAAATCGGGGTTTGCCTTTTGCCGTAAATGGGGGTGTTGCTTTATTCAAAAGTTCAAAGAGCATTTATGTAGTGTACTGTAAACGTGTCCCGAGTCAAAACACTGTTATATTGCTCATTTTAATAACCCTAATAAGTCATTATTTATTAGCTTATTTGTATCTGTAGTTCATTAATCATCACCTACCACTACAATAATGGGCTGGTACTGTTCTGAAGAAAGTTACCACAATCCAACATGTAGTTTTTAAATGATACTTTCTTATCCATGCTTGTGAAACTATCGTCACTATCACAGTGTTAACTATCGTCACTATCGTCACTATCACAGAATACAATATTGAATATAATCATATATTTTGTATGTTATGAGTTTTAAGAAGATGGAAACAAATAACATTTTATAAGCGTGTGTGTGTAAAATACCGGAATACAAATTGAACTCACACTTTTGAGTACTTCAGTCTCATGTTTCAAATAACAACTTCCTTCTTTTAAAAGCGTAACACATAGTGACGCATAGTTTTATACTTATAGCAGTTACTTTAGCTATATTCTAGCTATATCTAGCTATATTCTAGCTATATCCAGCTATATATTTAGCTATATCTAGCTATATATTTAGGTATATCTAGCTATATATTTAGCTATATCTAGCTACATCTAGCTATATATTTAGCTATATCTAGCTATATAATAAGTTATATCTAGTTATATCTAGCTACATCTAGCTATATATTTAGCTATATCTAGCTTTATATCTAGCTATATTTAGCTATATATTTAGCTATGCAATTAAAAGGCTTTTTTTTTGAAAATTACTATCGCTTCCTAATAACCTGATAAATTCCACAGTTAATTTCGACTTTAAACGATTTAACGCAACAGCATGGCACTTATTTCAACACTTAAAAGCTTAAATAGTAAATACATTCCGTAGGTAATATTAATTTTAACAGATTGTTCCAAGTCACCTACACCAATCAATAGTACTGAATATTTTAAATGTTTCGCTTTACTAACAGCATAGTAAAGTAGTAACCATGGTAAAGGTATGCGGGTAGATAGACACAACAGCAGAGTTATTTTTTGTAATCATTAGCTTATAACAAAATGCCTTTCTGAATTCTGATAGCATCGCGTTTAAACCAATCACGAAGCTGCATTACAATCACGTGACTGCTATGCACCAATCACTAAGCTGCATTATAACCACGTGACTGATATGCACCAATCACTAAGCTGTATTACAACCACGTGACTGATATGCACCAATAACTAAGCTGCATTACAACCACGTGACTGATATGAACCAATCACGAAGCTGCATTACAACCACGTGACTAATAACAATTAACCTCTCCAGGAAACAAGAAGGAGGATAGAACAGGAACAGGTACAATATCCCAGTTCGGGGCCCAGATGAGATTCTCACTGCGGGACCAGTTCCCCCTGTTAACCACTAAACGTGTGTTTTGGAGGGGAGTGGCAGAGGAGTTGCTGTGGTTTGTTGCAGGTTTTTATACGTGTTCTTTGTATATAACTGTGTATATATCTGTGTGTGTGCGTGCGTGCGTACGTGCGTGCGTGCGTGCGTGCGTGCGTGCGTGCGTGCGTGCGTGCGTGTGTGTTACGGTGATGTTACGGTGATGTTACGGTGATGATAAAAATGTGATGCATTTTGATCCTTATTTTCCAGTATACATGTTTAAGTTTACTACACGATTACACGATTTTTTACACGATTAGAAAATTTATTTGTTATACTGGAATAATAACAATTTTAAAATATAAAATAAATCACTTCCCTCTGAAGTAGAACAGATGATGGGAGAGCTTCAAACATGGCGATGGAGGGAAGCGGTGTCTCACCGCTGGGAGGTAAATTAATACCCGTATCGCGATGGTAAAATTTTATGATATGAGATCTCAAGTAAAAAATAACACAAAAAATAAAAAGTGAATGTTGTCAGTGTAGTGAAATCGGAGGCAACATTAATAAAGACGTATACACTTAAACCGTTACAACTATAGTCCCTATCTTGTTTTAAATACTCACAATAAAATACACACAAAAAACACACAAACGTCCCCAAAACATTAACTTCAATTTATATTTCCCTAGTTGAAATTAACTTATTTTATGAAATTGATACATTCGAGAAGATATCGTGATTACATGGTAGCCATCCATGATCCCCATTTAGCCCTAGGTTTTGTATATGAAGCAAATGGTTCTTAAATCTCTTTTTAAAAAGTGAAATTGACAAAATATGATACGGTACATCATGATCAAGGAGATAATTTAAAATTTTGGATGCATTAAAAACAAAATTACTATTCTTGGTCTTAGACATTGAGAATTTAGGATATAGCAGTCTGCATGATCTACTTGACTTGCTAAACCGGCGATAAACATCAATAGGAATTTGTTCTTTAAGTAGCCTCATTGCAATACATCCAGTCTCGACTAAATAACATGCTGAATTGCTGCATTTACTTGCATATGTTTCCTTGCACTTACTGCTAGCTTCAGTCGTGGAAGTTGATTAAAAGCTCTGTGACTTCAGTACAGTAATGAGTAATCTAAACCTTCCACTTTAAGTACATTAGACTGAAGTATGTGCCACTATATCTAGCAAAGACAATATTGTATGGCTTCAGGATATGACCCATACCATGTACATTGTACATTGTATACATTGTATGGTCAAGTTCGGAGACAACCTGTACATTTTTTACTTTTTTAGAAGTGTGTGGTGGAGCCAGCTCAACACAGAATGAAACTCCCTGATTATATGGCTGACAAGACATTTTTCAGGACTTTCTCTGAGTAAAAAAAAATAATTAAAAGGTTGAACGGTTGAGCAGATACAGGTGGTATTAAACAAACCCTTAAAAGGTGGAGATTTAAGGTGGAGACTGGCTCTGGTTGAAGAAACTTTTGATTAAGGTGGAAAAGGTTATTGGTAACACATACTACATCAAATTTGCAATCTGATGGTTTTATCAATATTTTATTTAAGTGCTCAACCGAGGTGGAGAAATTAAATGCACTTTTCAAAGCTGCTCAACCGGGGGTGGAGAAAGGTTTAGAGAGTTCTAGGTTAACTAGAAAGTTGCGTCTCGGCCTTTTCTACTTCCCGTTAAATTTTGTTTTTTCCATTGACGCTCAGCAGGGTGGAGATCTTTCATTAAGAAACAGTAAAAAGCCTGTCAAACATGCCTAAATTCATTGGTTTTATCACTAATTCTAATCTGCTCTGTTAACTGCTACTGTAGGGGATCATAAAACTGTTACCCCTTCTGTCTTAAAGCAAAGTGTTCTAGCAAATGAAAAAACTATCAAAGTTGTGAAAAGGTGCTCAACAAGGTGGAGAAATTGTTGATTAAACATTAAAACATTAAAAAATGCATTAAAACTGGCCCCACCGGGTTGAGTTAAGCTTTGGCAGTTGATTTCTGGAAGAAATAACATTGGGTGACCCTTTAGCATGTATACAACTCATCAAACTAGCCATCAACCACTCAACCGCGGTGGAGAACCTTGAATTCTGAGGTCAAATTTACACCCAAATTTGCCAAATTTGAGTCTCCACCTATGTTGAGTGTACTTTTCAGCAAGGATGCCTTGTAATATGAGTTGGTAGATGATTTAGAATCATTGGTATTGCAAATGGACTGCCACAGTCACTCTACAGCTCCTAAACTACAGAATAACAGATTTTGAACTGCATGTTATGCTGTCTCCACCTCGGTTGAGCCGATTCTGAGGATCCTATTCTATGAAATATGATTGGTATAACCCATAATATTAAATATTAGGACTTTGGAGCAATTAAAAAGCATGAGAGGGTTAGTTCTAGTCACTTATATTAGCTCATGTAGTCAGTGAGCTGCTCCACCTGTGTTGAGCAGACAAACCTGCTCAACCGGCACTTTTTGAGTACCCACCTGTCTTACGTAACTTTAAATTGTGAAATTTGGAGTAAATATTTTTTTCATAAGTGATTTACAGCTCCTTTATTTTTGTAATTTTCAGGTGGCCACTGTCTCCACCAAGGTTGAGTTATTAAAATTTTGAACCCAGATATCATTATAGAAAGGTTAGGAGTATAATATCTGAAGAGCCTGTACCCCTTGGACTGTCAGAGGAATTATAATTAATTTTACCGTTTATGGCAGTGAAATGAGTGTAATTAGTGACTGATCTTATGTACAGGTTGTCTCCGAACTTGACCGTATACACAGTTGTACGCTAGTCACTAAAAAGTTCAGCACGCAGACAATGATATGCATTGTGACGTCTTGAGTGAAAAATCTTAATTTGCAAGCATCCAATGAATATTAAACATCACAATTAAAATTCCTGGACGATGTAAATACCATTGGCGTGTAAGGGTTGATTTTGGAGGGCTTCGCTGGCATTGTTGGTGACATTTGAGTGCCGTAATATATATCTCGGTGTGGATGTAGTGTAGCTTGTCAAGGTGCCAATATTTCACGCATGCATGCTA